TCGCAGCCGCCGACCGCGCTGCCCCAGCCGGCGTCCCCGCCGACCTCCGCGTGACCATCTCCGACATCAACCCCTCCATGCTGGGCGTCGGCCGCGACCGCTCGCGCGCCCTGCCGGCGCACCACCAGGCCTCGCTCTCCTTCCTCGAAGCCAACGCCGAGCGGCTGCCCGACGGCGCCGTCCCCGACAACTCGGTCGACCTCTACACCGTCGCCTTTGGCATCCGCAACTTCACCAACATCCCCGCCGCCCTCGCCGAGGCCCGGCGCGTCCTCAAGCCCGGCGGCGTCTTCGCCTGCCTCGAGTTCAGCAAGGTCGACAAGCACCCGCTGCTCAACTTTGCCTACAAGCGCTGGAGCTTCTCCGCCATTCCCCTCATCGGCCAGCTCGTCGCCGGCGACCGCGACAGCTACCAGTACCTCGTCGAGAGCATCGAGCGCTTCCCCTCCCAGGAGGAGTTCCGCGACATGATCGTCGCCGCCGGCTTCGAGGTGGCCGGTGACGGCTACGAGGACCTCACGGGCGGCATTGCTGCCATTCACAAGGGCATGAAGCCGCTCTGAGGGCCGGGCAGTGTTGTGGGCCTATTTGGGGGGCGGGGGATCAATGAGGGGATGTCGGACAGCGAGGGGAGGGGGCTGTACTTCTTGTACCAACATGTTGCATTATTGTATACAGGCGGGGATCGTCTGCCATTGATACTGGGGTAGGCCGTCAGAGTATGCGTAGACGAATGATAGAAGCACTCTGAGTTGCCCACAGGTCGTGCTGTTCTTTTGTGCGAGTGACTCTCCAAGATGCAGGTCTCGAAAGCATGCTCTTGGGTCAGGATTTAAATGACCATTTCCTTGACCAAAGCCTATATGAGTAGATCTAGGCTGGTGGTGCGGGCCGCCATGACTATATGCTTGGGGAACGAGAGACATGAGTATGCCGCGGTACCTGAATTGCGGATGCCGTCCGTTGAGGCACCAAACACTACCTAGGGGAGGAAATGCCCTTCGTACTTCCAGGCCCTCGTTCAGCGATGTGAAATAGCAAAATAGCTTGCGGCCAACAGCTCATCATCTCACAGGAGCTCGTCATCTTCCGTGTATCGAGTAAACGATGACAAGACACGCCTGGCTAATGAAACTTGTCTAGCAGTGCACGCATCACCAGCGAACGCAAAACATCCACCGAAGTAATCAGTGTCACACAGCACAAACACAGCCATCATATTTCAAATCCTTTTGTCGATTCCGCAACGTCGAAAACTCCTGCCCGGGCTAGACTAGGCTAACCTGGCTAACTCCTCCAAACCTCCCCGGGCCTTCATTAAGGCGGTATGCGTACAAGAATTGGTAGCAGTGAACGGGCCCATCCGGCCCTTTCCTTTCCCCTCTTTTGCTCGCCGTAGCACAAAAAAAAAAAAAGACTGCCGTCAAACGAACCCGCAGGCTCGTAAGCAGACTGGTAAGGGCACAAGAATGAGCCCCGTGTCTATGTATGGGCAAAGACGAAACTTGATGGGAGACTGGACCCTGCGGACACGTCTCCATGGCATGGGTGACAGGTTGGGTAAAACTGCCCTAAAGCCATTTGCCCCCCATCTCTGCCCGACAACCTCCGTCCTGGTCCGTCCCCCGTTTCTTCGTCATGATACCTGCTTCCTCACTAACCCTGAAATAATGCTTACTCGGCAGGCGTGGCAGAAGCCGGGGCGGGAGAAGAGCCACCGCCCTCACCCTTGAAGCCGCCGCGACCACGTCCACGGCCGCGCTCGCTGCCCCGGCCGCCGCCGCGTCCTCCACGTCCACCGCGGCGGTTGCTCTCGGAATCACTAGCTCCACCTGCGCTGCGGTAACCACTACCCGTGTTGGCAGAACCGGCACCGCCGCGGCTGCTTCCCCAGCTACCAGCACCGCCGCGCGGGGCAAACTTGCTCTCGCGGTGGATAAAGATCTTCACCAGAGGGCGCGAGCGGTCCTCCTGGGCACGCGTCTTCAGGTCTTCAGGCAGACTGTTGAGGGCGGCGTCACGGTCCTCGGCGCTGGCGAACTGCACGACCTTGTTCGAGTTGCCCCACTTCTCAATCTTGGTGATCTTGCCTCTGTACTCAGGGTCGAAGAGCTCCTTCGTCTGCTCCTCCGAGTTGACGTTCATGACGAAGAGACCAATGATATCCTGCGCGGGGGTCTTGGGCGCAGGCGACGACACGGGCTCCGGTCCGTTCGTCGATCCGTTGGCAGCCGCCGGGGCGGCGGGCTTCTCCTGTTCCTTGGCGGGACCGGAGGGGGCGGCGGCCGGCTGAGGAGTGCCGGGCTTCGGTGCGGCGGCGGGCGTAGCCACTGTTGGCTTGCTGGCGGCCTGCGAAGGCTGGCGGCTGGTGGGGGGAGGGGCGGTGCTCTGGGTCGCGGGAGGGGCAGGCATAGCGTTGGAGACAGACTGAGGAGCAGCAGGGGCGGCGCCGGGCTGCTGCTTCGCGCCCCTATGGGAGAAGTTGAAGCCTTGTGCGCGCATCTCCGTTCCGATCCTTCCGTCCTGGATCTCGAGGACAAGCCAGCCAAAGGCAGCGTCCGCCAGGTTGAAGTTCCACATGTTCTTGAAAGCGCTCTCATCGACCTGTCCCAGCTGAGCCTGGCCTTGGACGGGGCCGCCGAAGGGATTGCCACCGGCAGCAGTCGAGGGCATCTTCTCAACGATAGCCAGAGCGTTCTTAAGGAGGTTCTGTTGGGCTTCGTTTTGAGAAATAGCAGGCTCGACCTCGCTCTTGACCGTCTCCCACACGTCGTTGAAGGACGCCTTGGAGGCAGCCAGCTTGCCGCGATAGTGATCGAGGGTCGGGTTGACGCTGAACTCGTTGTAGGAGCTTCCGTAACGGAAATGCAGACCGGCGGAGATGGAGAAATCGGCCTTCAGGGTGACGGACAGCTGGTTCAGGATACCCTCGCGCGCAGGCGAGGCGTGGGTGACGAAGACGCGCGTCTCGGTCGGGTCATAGACGCGGTGAGCAGTGTCGACGAGCTCGCCCATCTGCAGGAGCGTGGTCCACATGGTGCCTTGACCACCGGCGATCGTCGTCCGTCCCTCGCCGTTGTCGAAGAGCTTGTGCATAACGACGGCGCCACCGAGACCGAGGAGACGCAACTTGACACCTCCGAGCTCGAGCAGCATGGACCGAGCCTCGTCTATGATGTGCAGGTTGTTGACCTTGTACTCGCCGGACCGGAACTTTTCCAACACCCTGACATCTTCGCACGCGCCCCAGACGGTGTAGACGGGAACATCGAGCTTGATATCGCCGCTCAGCAGGAGAGAGAGCTCGGAGAGGGGAAGGTCGCTGGGCGCAAAGCGGCTCTTGACGGAACCGGGGCCGCCTTGTTGGATCGACTTTTTGATGGGCTCTGGAATCAGCGGAGAGTACTGGGCGACGTGCTTCAGGGTCCTAGCGGGTGGGCGGGTCAGCATGGTATGCAAAGGAGAGGTGGCTGGAGCACGTCGGGAAGGAGGGCCTGGCGTACTTCTCTGCGATCCGTTCCAGGGAGGTGTCATCGTAGAAACCAAAGTCACCCGTGTGGATGATGTGGTCGGCGCGGGCAGATTTGGCGAGCTCGTTCAGGGAGTTGAGGTTGCCTAATGAAACGTCAACACGCGGTCATCGAAAGCGCTTGGTCGTGAAGCTAGCATACCTCGGACATCGGCAATGCAGAGAACTCTGATGGGACCGGTCTGGATGACACGGCCCTGGTTAGGGAGAAGGGGGGCGGCGCCGTTGGGGGTGAAGCCCGGGTTGTTGAACTGACGCGGCTGCATGGTATCACTGTTGTCAGTCTTTGCCAGCTCCAAGGGTGTACGACGTAAGAGCCAGGTCGCGGCTTGCTCGAGATGGACTTACGGCGGCCATGCTCTCTCTGTCTCTCTCTCTCCTCTTTGTGTAGACGGGGGCAGTCGCGGTGGCGATCGGGTGCGGGAGGGTCCAGCTGAGGCGAGCTTCGTCTGGAAAGGTTCGTATGGGGAGCAAAAGGGCTCGAAGATGCGCGATGGAGGTCGGAGGAACTTGGGTATCAATGGAGCTGACGGTGGGAGATGAAGAAGACGATGGGCCTGTTTGCGACAAAGTAGAATCAAGAGATGGTCCCCTGGTAAGGCTATTGATTTTTGCTTGGTGGTCGGGTTCGGTTCGGGGGGGGGGGTTGTTTCCAGTGCAGGCACGGTAAGGTACACGTTAGAAAAGCTCCTGCCAGGCAACCTTCTGGAGGGAACGACTGAATTGGCGCGTGCGCTCGTGGCTTCAAGGGGACTGCTCCCCCGAAACGGCTTAGACTGTTATGGCCAGTGTCCAGCTGGCGAGGCAGGGGAGCATGTTCGGGTCATGACCGTCGGCAGCTGCTTATGTAAACACGTCCATCTTTCTGTCCCCTGTCTCGGAATGTCAACGCCTGGCTTGGCTTGTTTGACTTTCTACGCCAGTTTCAACCTCCATCCAGCGTCCTGGCTCACCATTCACTGCAACTTGGCCCCCCCAAGGCTGTCAAGCTAAGACCGCTGGCTGAAAACGATACTCACGATACATCATGCTTAGGCTCGGTCATCTATCATCCAAAATTCATGTAATTCTTGCACGAGCTCCAACCCATCCCTGAACCCCAGGCCGCTATGCTGTGTACATGAGGTGCTGCTCTCGACAGGTGTTTGTGGCTCTTCCCTAATTGCAGAAAGGCCCGCCGAGATATTAAGGAAAGATACAGACCTGTCTGACGAGGAGAGAGATAGAGAAGAAGGGAGAGAGAGGGGGAAAATGAAAAGTAATACCGAAAGAAATGAAATGAAGGCCCCCCCCCCCCCCAAAAAGACTGAGAATGGGACGACCCCTGACCCATGGCTTGCATCCTCCCAGGCGCTGACAGGCCCTCCGAACTCCAGCCCATATGCACATCCTCGCCGTTTGGGCAAAAATCTATACACATTCGCTTGTTGCCCTTCCACTAGCTCCCAACATGGTCCATATCGCTGCTAGCTCACCACATGTCGTCTCGACCGTCACTGTGTCGCCCTCGCCCGTCGCCGTTCGCACCGCTGCCTTGATCGTACTGGTCATAGTACTCCTTGCCGTGCGTTCCACCGTACTCGTCGCCGTAGCTGTTGTCGTTGCCTTGACCTTGCTTTTGACCGCCGCCGCCGCCGCCGCCGCCATGTTCGTACTCGTAAATTTGCGCGTCATCCACATAATCTACACCATCATGCGAGTTACTGTCGCCGTACTGAGAGGCACCCTGAAAGCTTGTTAGTATGCCATACACACAGAGGAAAGGGGCAGTTCTTCACCTACCCGGTGGTAGTCAAAGTTGTACTGGTCGAGGGCGTCTTGATCCGACTCCTCTTGTTGCTGTTGTTGCAACTGCTGCTGGGCGAGGTACTGCTCCTCCTGCTCTTTGCGACGGCGCTCTTCTTCAAGGCGTCTTTGCTGCGGCGACTGAGGAACCTGCGCCTGCGGGTGCATGGCCTGGACGATGGCGAGGTAGTTATACATGAAGTTGCTGAGCAGGACCTGGCTGGATAGCGAGCGGCGCGGGTTGGCCAGCTTGATGTGCGCCATGCGGTAAATCGCCCTTTCTTCCAGCAACGGGAATCGGGTCCAGTGGTAGTCGACGTCGGGTCGGAGCGGGCGATAGATCGGGTCTTCGGAGACGCGTAGGTGATGGCCCTTTTTGCTGCTGGACTCCTTCTCGCCCTTCTTCTTGCCGCCGCCAAAGAGACCTGAGAACAACCCACCGCCCTCCTTCTCCTTCTTCGCCGGATCTGACTTTCGACTGCTTTCCTTTTTTCTTTCTTCGGCTAACTTGCTGTCAACATTGTCCCGATCAAGCAACAGGCTCTCGCGACCCTTGGTAACCGCACTTTCAATAGAGTTTTGCAAGACGTCCAGTCGCACGTTGTCCTGAGCCTTCTCGACAAAGGTTTTGCTTTTCTTCTTTTCCTCGTCCCTCTTCTTCTTCTCCTTGTCGTCGCCGCTCCCCTTGAGCCACTTGGACCAGGATTTCGAGGTGGATCCGCTGCTGCTTTCGTCGTCCTTGTCCTTCTTTGACTTCCTGTCGGCTTTCCGATCATCTGCTGCCAGCGTTGGAATAAACGTGAGACTGTCAGTTCTGGTGGCGCCGCCGCCCGGCAGAGGGGATGGGTTGTGCGCCATGTCATTGAGGCTGTTGTTCGGGTTGTTACCATGCTGCTGCTGCTGTTTTGGCTGCTGCTGCTGCTGTTGCTGTTGCAAGGTGAGAGACCCTGAGCTGGATTGTGGTGAGCGAACCATGCCCGGACGCTTTGACGACCGTGCTGGTGGCTCGTCTGGAACTCCCTGCTGGGATGAAGTAGTCCTCTGCGGATATTGTCTCTGGCCGCCTTGATCGTCTTCCAAGGCTGAGGGTTCGATAATTTGTGGTACGGACGAGGTTGAGGCAGTACGAGCCGGAGCATCCTCCTGAAAGCTGCGCACATTTGACGTGGAGTCATATGTCTCGGACGATGGCGGCTCGCCCCCAGTAAGTGCGGAATAGGCATCCTCCTGAGGAGAATTCTGTTGACGTCGCGCTGGCCTGCCAGGCCGGGAAAAGTTCTCGGAGATGGGCTCAGACTGGACTCTGGAGAGGAGATGGCCTTTAGGGACATCCTCGAGGGGCGCCGCAGGGGTGGCTTCCGGCTGCTGTTGAGCCTCGGACTGGGTTTGTCGACTGGCGGACGTCCGCTTGTTGAGAGAATGCCGCTCGCCTGATCTCAAGCTACCGCCCTTCCTGTATGTTGTGCGGGTCGACCGACGGAGCCCCATGCCAGGAACCATGGGCAATATCGGCATGTCGTCAACGCTGCCTTCGGGTCCGACCCCTGGTTGCGACTCGTGAGCCAGCTTCTGCACGGCGCCGGTAGGGTCCTTCATCAAGTCATCCAGGCTCAGTTCCGTGGCCGGCTCACTGGTTCGCTTGCCGTCAAGCTTCACCGACCCATCCACATAGCCGTCAGCGCCGCGTCCTCCTGAGTTATCAATCTGTCGAGAGAGCATGCTCTTCTTTCTCCTCAGCCCCCCCGAATTGCTTCGATCCAACGTGTCTGGTGAGAGAAGAGATTCGCCCGACCTCCTTTTCATGGACTGCACGCGATTTTCCAGAAAGTTCTTGAATTCTGTGGGCGCCAACTCCGGGTGAACAGCCGCAGGAACCCACAGCAGTCTGGAGGGATCTGCCTCATCGTCGTCTCCCGAAGGCGCCATCGACGGCATGGTTGTCAGAGACATGCTCGAAAAGGGGAGCAAATCCGGATCGGCGTTGTTGCCGACATCCATCGACATTCTCCTCAGTGCTTGAAGGTTGCTCAGCTCCTGCGCAATGTCGTTAGGGTGCTCGATGTTGGTCAGGGGAAACTGTGACGACTCGTTCTGGACGTCTCGCAGGGACATGGTCGGGGACAAGGGCGTTTTCCCTCCTTCTCCGTAGGCATTTGACCGCAGGCTCGGGGCTCTCGTGGGTAACGTTTGGGCCTTCTTAATACCTGTAGTTCCGTTGAGGGATAGGCTCGTGCCCGACTGGTCCGAGGTGGAACGCAGCAGCTGCTGTCGCCGTGGATCTTGGACATCATCGAGGTGAGAGAGTTTGTGGAGGTGTTCGGGCTGTTGTATGAAGCTCATGGGTCGGTGGTCGTTGGCATAGTCGTCCTCGTCACCGTACAGGGTTCCAATGGCCTCGGTCACATGGTGGCTCGGGTCGGATATGGACAGCTGGCTGGCGTGGCCGCGTCGACTGGCGAAGCTTCCGCCTACATCGCCGCGGGGGCGGGATGATGTCTGTAGAGAAAGGAGAGCAGTGGTCAGCATGTGCAGGAAAGGAAGGCAGTGGAAGACGTCAAGATCAGAAGCACGCGGCCGCAACGTAATTATAGAGGCATGGCAGAACAACTGGAGCAGCCCAGGGCCCCGGGCAAGGATCCCAGAAAACGCTGGGCATGTACCACAACGGGGGGGGACGCACCATCATCTAGAAAAGCAAGAGGGCCGTGGGACAGGCCAGAACGCCAGCGAAACCCCCCCAAAGCAAAGAACACCGGGCGTGTATTGTGATCGATCGGTTGAAAAATGGTCGGTGAACTCGCATCGGGGTCAAGAGCGGTTGTGAGGCATAGGCGCCGTCGAGGGCCGTCAGATCACAGGTTGGCCGTCGTCGGGGGATCGGTACATCCAACGAGGCAAGACGTGTATGGGGGGCGACAAGCGGGTGGCCGCGCCGCAGTGGGCGATCGCACAAAGACGGACAGACAGAGCCGATAGAGACGTGGGGAGAGAGCGAGAGGATGGGATGTCGGGATATCGGGGTCTCGAAGGTGGAATCCAGAGAGAGAGAAAGAGAGATAAGAGAGGGCGCCGTTCGATCGTCAAAATGGTCGGCGTCTCTGAGTTGCGGGCTCCGCTGGGGTCTTTGGTTCTTGGGTTTCCTTGGGGGGTTCCTTGGGATGAATGATGGGATTTCGCTCTCGCTCAACCCCCCTACTGCAAGCTTGGAGAGAGCGGGCACCACAGCGGCTCTCCGACCAAGGACGAGGGCGAATGGAGGTGCCAAGTGCCAAGGTGCCAGCCTGTAGGGAACGGGGAGGGGGGCTCAGGGATGACTTGTCGGTTGTGTGGTTGGTCCAGCGCCAGCAAATGTACCTCGACGCACGGCCTGAAGTACCGCAGTTGGGCGTGGAGGGGCCGCCGGGGGCGCCTCCCCAATTGCATTAGCGCAATCAAAGGGGTGGCGCCGGATTCATGACACTCCACCAGCGGACGGCATGTCCAGTGTCCAGACTTTCGTCACTGTCGCTCACTGTAGTACTTGCTGGCCAGTGGCCATCACTGGTTGGCGCCAGATGGTCACGTGCCTGTGGTATAAGGTTTCAACCAGGCCTCACGGGATACTATCGCTTGGGCAGGCTGCCCCTGGCCTGGAGGGCCGTGGGGGGGGGTGTTGAGCGGTGATTTGGCACGCCTTGCGGACTTTTTAGCGAGGAGAGACACCAGCTCAGAGGCGTTAGGGGTCGCACCTCCCTACCTAAGGTACCTTAGGTCGGTAGGTAGGTAGGCACCTTAGGTACCTGTGGCGGCCCACGTCTTGCCTTTCCGAGACGGGCTGTTTCGACGGGCGTGCGGTCCCTGATCCAGTGCCCATTGCCCCAGCACCCGGCGCTCAGTGACGTGCCTTGCGTGTCCGCTGTCCGCTGTCCGCTGCAGCAGGTGCAGAATTCCAGACAACACTCAGCTCAGACGAGACTGATCGTCCGACGGCCCAACCCCCTCCAACAGGTATGTCATCGGCAGCCTCACTACAACAGAAGCAGCTTTATTCGTCCACCGCTGCGTGGCCCGTGAGACACTTGGCCGGCCGACAGCTCAAGGCTTTGTACTGGCCCAGCCAGCCATTGATTGCACTTGTGAAGGCAGCAACAAGCAATTTTTGGTGACCAGGATGGGTGGCTACCTAGCCCTATCTCTCCGTAGGCACCTCTCCGTAGGCACCTCTCCGTAGGTACCTACCTAGGTAGGTAAGCACCTGAGGTTAGGTAGGTAAGGTACCTGGTAGGCAGGTAGGCACCCAAGGGTACCTACTCCAGTGGCAGGCCTAAGTACCTAGGATTTTTTTCTAAACTCGCTCGGGTGCCTGGCCACCCAGATAAGCGCTACAGGAGAATTACTCAGGCCTTCCCCCCCCCCCAAACCATCTCTACATGGCTCAATTTAATCATCACCCGTATTTGATCAGGGCAGCCGGCCATTGCACTCGATGGCCTTTCTGGAAGAAACTTCCGTCAGACGTCCGGTCAATTCGTCGAAACACAGACTTTCGGACGACACCCGAGCGACTAGACAAGAAAGACCAAGGACCGAAACAGGAAAGCAAGGCCCCAGCAGTTGCTCATGCGCCTTGCACCTTGCACCTTGCGATTGGCATGAAAGGGTCCACCTCCATCGCCAGGCATCTGAAGCACCCATCGTACAAGCATCATCAATCACGGCTGTTAGGTTGGATTCGTCCCTGAAGATCGTGGTGACCCTCTCCACTTTGGAGAATTCGAGTGGAGGTATATTGACACTGCGCCCCAACCCCCTTTCTCCTTCAACAAAGCCTGGTCAAGGAGCAGGACTTCTCTTTGGTGAAGAAGCAGCACAAGGAAGCAAGGCCTCAACGCTGTCCTTGCACTCAAAGAGGCGCAAATTCCAACTGCTTCGAGGTGCTGGACTGGGCCAACCACACCACAGTACGCGGGCTACCGGCAACTACTCCCATGCCACCGCCCCTCGATGCTGTGACGAGCAAGCACCATGCCTCGTGCCTCCATGCCGTGCCGAACAGCGAAGCATGCAGCATGACCTTGGCTGACAAACATGTCTTGCCAGCTGCGGTCGATGAACGAAGCTTTGTGCTAAACTCAGGACAGTCCCCTTCTCACGATACAAGCTCCGTAATCTTGCACAGCATCCAGCACCAAAGTTCATCATCCACTAGAGCATCACCACTACCTGGTCCAGTGACCTGGGTTCGATCATCGATCTCCTGGCCGCTGAGGAACTGAAATGAGGTGGACAGCGGGGTCCCCTCTCCGAGAACCAAGCGAGATGGTTGGCCGCCATGGACAAGGAAACCTGCATATGAGATTTAAGCCGACACCACCACTACCAAGTGCACCACCCATCAGCAGTCGCCACATTCAACATGTGCTCACAAACAGCGGGCGAAGGGTAAAAGGCAGCCTGCGACCCGGTCGATCCAGCCTACGCCCGCGCGTCAGAGAGCATCCTTGATTCATCCCGGACCTACCTTGCCTTACCTACCTTACCCTTTGGTAGCTGTCTACATTTCCATTGCATCACCGATTGCTAGCTTCGTCTGTCTACATTTCCCCCCCCCCCCCCTCCCCAATCCGCGCCCGGCGAATGTCGTGCCTACTCGACTGAGGCCGGGTGATGGCTATGCATACCGTCACTGCACATCATGTGCTCCTGACGCTTATTATGATGCCCTTGTTCACCTGTCCCACGCCGCACTTTCTCACACGGAATCCCGGCTCCTACTGCCCCAGTTCCAGATCCAGATCCAACTCCAGAACAGGGTCAAGGTCAAGATCAACATCACAATCAGTTGTATCAGTAGTCAGGGCACCAGTCACCTCCCAAGCGACACAGACCACCACGATGGACTTTGAAACGGAGAGCCTGGTGAGTCAACCGAGCCAGGAGGGTCTCATACTCCAGAAGAGGCACCGTCACAGCATCATCAGCGATGTCCCTTCCTTCCGCTTCTCGCGCGAGCCCTCTCTCTCTCTCAACTGGACCAAGCCCCTGCCCCAAATTCCGCCGGCGGATATGACCCTCTCCGGCAAGATCGTCCTCGTTGCCGGCGGTGCCCGGGGCATCGGCGCCGCCGTGGCCCTGCGCCTCGCCCAGGACGGCGCCCGCATCGCCTTTACGTTTGACCACGCCACCTCCGTCTCCCGCGCCCACGCCGTCATCGCCTCGGTTGAGGCCGCCGGCTCCTCGGCCACCGCCATCCAGGCCGACCCCGTCAAGGACCACGACCGCGTTGTGCGGCACGTTCTCAAGGCCTTCCAGGTCTCCCATATTGACATCCTTATCAACGGGCCCGGCGCCGAGCTCGCCGCTCCGCTCGAGACGACGTCCCCCGAGGCCTTCGACCGCGTTTTCGAGTCCAACGCGCGCGCCGTCTTCTTCATGATGAAGGCTGTGCGCCCGTACCTCGCGCGCGAGGCCCGCGTCGTCAACCTGTCCGGCAGCGCCGCTAGGGGCGACGATGTCGGCAGCATGGCGCTCGCGGGAAGCAGGGCTGCCGTCGAGGCCTTCACGCGCGTTGCGGCGCGGGAGTTTGGCGAGATGGGCCGGGGCATCACGGTTAACTGCGTCAGTCCGGGCATGGTGAAGGACGGAGAGGAGGAGGGCGTCAGCGAGGACCTCGGGCTGGAAACGGCGCGAGGCACACCAGCTGGAGAGAGGCTCGGGAACGTCGATGACATAGCGGACGTCGTGGCTTTCTTGGTGAGCGAGGGTGCCAGGTGGGTGACGGGAGCCGTGATTCCCGTGAACGGCGGGAGGATGATGTTTTGATTTCTGTCTCGTGTTCTTTTGGGTAGGCGGCACCTTGTACGAAAATTGTTCGGCTCGGTGAGATGAGTGGGACAAGTGCATGGAGTTCGGATGGTTTTGACGGTTACGGTTTGCCAGGGCTCGTGATGACATGACTACTCTTTATTGTTTTTTAATCAATGCTGGCGCGGAATATACGAAACCTTGAGGAAAAACCAATGTCAACTGTAAGCAGCGACTGGCCTTGCGGGCCGTGAGCATGGTCAATGTCAAGATGTAGTCATCTCTCTTCTGAACACCTGTGCAGTCACGTCGGATGGTTTTTCTGTTCTTGTGCCGTCTTGAACCTAGCAATGTATCCATTGAAGTTTCTCACGGAGCGCATGAACATCTCATATCACTGTACCTTCGAGATGGGGTTTACCGAGCCCCCATCAGAATTCGATATGGCTTGGAGCCTCCCTGATTTTGGCAAGAATGAAGAGTAAGCAGCATATCGGCCACTCGGACACATGTGCATGGATATTCAACGTTAAGATCCCGTACGCTTTGCGGGTACCAGAACTGACGCGAGGGCTGGCGTTGCTATGGATTTTGAGCCCTAGGGTTAGAAGAGATACCGGGAGCAAAATCCTGAACGTAGAAAGTGACATGTTTTCCTCCGGCCGCAGGCGCCGCTGATGATTTGTTCGCTTGTCGCATGGTTGAGTACGCGGAGGGAACCGCAGGCTTGCTGTATATCTACATGTCCTTAGCAAGACTCTGATGATCCTGAAACACCCATGTTGGGCTGCGTCGACGCATCCTGGGGACTGAACACCATGTTGGGATGTGGAGTAGTGACGGGAAACAATGGGCTGCAGCTGGATTCAATATGAATTTCTCAGTCCCTGCTTTCAGTGAGAAGAGGAGACGGGATCCTCTGCATTGGGTCTCCGGCGAGGGGCATGACTTGGTCGTAAAATCTGTCAGACACATAAAAGAATTGCAGTAACAGTATAAACGACAACAGGCCTCAGGGCACGGTCAGTACACTTGAACAACCTCACGAGCCTCGACGGACCAGTCAAGCAGGAATCATTTCATTAAATATAAAGTAAGCACGCGCCCTTGGTATCAATTTTTTGCTCAAGCACCCAACGCCTTGCAGTCGTTTCGAAAAGACGCATGAAACAGCCCACGGCCGCGTGATAACGACTTCTAGTCCGTCTCGTAAATAACATCCTCGTCATCCTCAATAGGATCTTCATCCCGCAGCACACTGTCCGGCAACATCTGGCTTTTCGTCAATAGTTGCGACGTTTCCAGCGAGAATTCTCCGGCTGGTAGCTGGATGGGACTGTCCATGTCATCAAGAGGAAGAAGCGACAGGCTCGACGAGGGCAGCGGAGCTCGCGAGCTCCGCTGCCGTGTAGTCTTCGCAGGCGACGCCGGCGGACTTGAGGCTTGGCTCGCTGTCGTGGCCTGCGAGAGCCTGACGGAGCGCCGCGCTGCAGACGACGGTTTTGGGTTCGGCAGGCGGTTGAAGGGTGTGGGCGGGAGTTTGGACGGGAGCTTCAGGGAAGGAGCAGCTGGTGTTGCATTGTAGACGCGGCGGCGTTCCTGGCTTGAGCTCGATGGAACGAGCAGGTCAGGGTCTGATGTATTTTGCAATGTTGCTTCACTGAGAATCTGCTTCTCGACCTCCTGGGAGATGGTGAATTTGGAGGGACTCGAGGGTTTATGGTGCTGTTTCACCGGGCTCAGCTCGGACGGGAGGTCGTCGAGTAAAGGTAAGTCGGCAGCTTGATCTTCTTCGTCTTCTCCGAATAAAGAGCAACGCAGATTTGCCATCAGGTGCCCTACCACCGTGGGAGGTACGTAATTGTACTTCTGTGGAGGCCCAGCAACCCACCCATGCTCTTTCATCTCCGCCAAGGATACAGGATTATTCAGCTCGTAGACCTCTTGCAGCTCGTAGGCAAAGCTATTTTGCTTCTTGCCGGCGTTGAATTCGGCGTTACCCAGGCCATTCTCCTCAATCTCGCCGGGCTGCTTGTAATTGGAAATCACGGCCATGTACTTCAACATGGAAATCGGCGCCGTGACGTAAATCCACATGCGGGTGACAACGTTGGGAATTCGGTAGCCGCGGAATTCGTGGTTCTTGGTGCCCTTGATAATCTCGTCGACGTGCTCTGGGTGGATGGAGATGAAAATATCGGATCTGTCCGTCTGAGGTCCCATAGCGTGAATTTGCTCCAAGGAAATTCGCTGACTTTCCATAGCTTGGGTTGGCTGACTTCGACCTTGTGTTGGGGTGATCTGGGAGAAATCGTCTAGTGACTGTGTCTGGGTTTGTGATTGTGTGGTGACTTGAGATATCGGTCTTGGCGTGGGAAGTTGAGGTGATGACGTGAAAGGTTCGCTGGCACGTCCTGCGGTTGTGGCCTGCCCAGCATCGGCACCATGAGACTTGTCGTGCGTGACCTTTTGTTGCACGGGTGGCAAGTCCACTGCAGAGCCCTCAGCAGAGGACGACTTCTCAGATGAGTTCACTAAATCCTCGACAAGCATCTGCGTTTCGTGCCCTACTGCGCCATATTCGTCTTCGTCCTCCATCAGATCAGCCTCTCCCAGCTCGTCGAACTCGTCTTCGGAATCTGCAATCTCACGCTCCCATGACTTTGGTGTTGATTTGCGTCGCAGAGGGGATGGGCTGACGTCCCGCTCAACATTTTCTTCGGAGACCTCGTCCTCCGGGATGCTGATCTCTCCCAGTACTCGGCTTTGCGGTGGACGCATAAGCTGCGATGGTCGGGGCGTGACAAATCGAACAGCCTTCGCAGTCGCGGCGTGAACTGTGAGGGGATCTCGGTTCTCCTTTCCCGGAGATGGGTCGATACTTGAAGATGTTGGACTTTTGGTGACCGTCGAGTCTTCTACGACCATGTTTCGAGGACGAGGGAGCTTTGGCGGCTCGGAAACTTCGGGGAGAGGCGCCATGACGTTGGTAGACTTGTGTTTAAGCGGTGATCGCTTGTTTGCAGGGCTATATCTAGCCAACATGGGCGTGAGGGGGGAATCCTGTGACGACGGGATCACTTCCCTGTGAATACGCTTGTTTTGGGGAGTTTGCGGTACTACAGAAGGCGTCCGGCTGGCAACGGGCTGGTCCACGCCGGGCCTGCCTGCGCTCTCGCTTGCATCTTCAAAGACGAAGCTAAGGTTCTCATCCTCGGAGTCGTCGATCTGCAATTCGCTTGGGTCCTCGTCCTTGCTAGAGAATGATAGTCCCGGGTATGCTTGGGTCAGGGTTTGTGTGTGGAAAGTAGAACGTGGCGGTGAAGAGTTGGGCGCATCGCCTTCCGTCTTGCGTCTCTTCTTGCCTCTGGGGCGTTCTGGCTCGTCATCATCTTCGATCGGGCCGCGGTCAACCCAGTTGAACTGCGTGAGGGTGCTCTGCTTCGGCGACTTGGCGTTCATCTCAATCTCTTCTTCTATGTCGGCTGGGGAGGAGTCGCGGGCCGCGATCTTTCGTCGTAGGTTCTTGGGTCTTTGGCCGTAGCCTCGGATTGTGGTGCGTTTGTGGGGGAACTTGGTCTGCTTCAACGCGGGACTCGAGTGGTAGACGCGTTCGCTGTCGGGCTGTCCTCCTGATCGTGTTTTTGGCGCCATTGTGTATTGATGTCCACTTCAAACAAATTCGAATCTCAGTGAAAGTGCGTCAGTTGGCACACCGTCAGCGACGATGACATTGGTGAACGTGGTTTCGGAGCAGCCAGTCGCGTTTCGCGTTAAGCTGCAGGCACTCTGAGATACGACGCGGTTGCGGCGGGGACTCGTGACGTAGCCCCGCTAACCCCGGCGTCCGCTTCCAGCATTCACTGACTCCAGCGCTCCCAGGGTCATGGACAACACGCCAACAGTCAGATTCTAGACACGAATTTCCGGGCTGATTATGCACCACACTGAGACTTGCGTGGCTCGAATTTCATAGCTAGATTTTACACGAGCCATGACTGCCACATACGCATTTACGGCAACGAAGGTTATAGTGAGGTGGTTGCTAGCGAATATCTTGGCTGGAACCTGCGAACTGAAGGAACGTAAAAGAAACATCTCATGCAAGTCCTCTGCTTTATTCAGGGTCATTTCCCGTGATAGTACCACAATCTCGTATTGAAGCCTACGGTACATTTTGATCGAAAGACTTCATGGATGGCGTTCTAACTCGGAAGCACCACCAGGGCAATCCGTCTTCACGTCATGTCAGCCTAAGCTATCATGGTCGTGATGTTGTGAACCCAAGATACTGATTACATTGCTATATTGTCATAGACTGAGATTCCCTAATAATTCGCTGTCCGAAGTCTCTAGTACTCGTCGTAGTATTATCATGATGGCATGGGTCTCTAAAGTTCCCGCTTACCGAGTGAGCAAAGATCATCGAGCGCTGACACTTTCGCATGAATGCGAAGTCGATGCAGAACAACATTTAAAGCATATCGTTTCGCCACATCGTATTGAAATAGGACCCGGAACCCAAGGTCCCCCATAGAACCCGTATTCTTTGCGTCGGACAACCGTGGATTGCGTATAAAACATAGAAAAAGCCTGAAGACACGAAACTATGGCGGCAAGCGCAAGGAAGCTCTTTGCTGTTTCAACCCGCCAGGTAAAAGCCGACTGTGGAGTGAGAACCAGGGACTGAAGCTATATAGAAGGAGACATCAACATCGTCGTAGATATCTTGAGTTTTCCTTGTTCGATAATCGCGTTCCCTACGAGTTTAAGGCACATGGAGAAACTGTAGCTGTAGAAGTGTGATCGATTGAGAGCAGGCACTTCGTCAGGCTATTCTAATAATCTCTGCCTTCAGATCAGCAATATGAGACCGCCTGCAGTCCGTGAAGTTGATCAATGAGTGAACGTTCTCTGCCCATAACTAAATGAGGCCTTTCCTAACCGAGAAAGCCCTGGCTGTCCTCGAAGTTGGGGGACTGGAGGAACCCAAAATGCTCCTTCTGCAGACATTAGCCATGTGCACATCGGTGTCCACGGGTCATAACCTGCACATGGGCTGACAATATGTAGAAGTACAGGCTCGGTTGTCAACCCAGCCTCAGAGCTGTTTCTTTTTGCCACTTACGTGTACTTTCTGGGGCGGGACGCAGCAAAACGGATGCCAAGAGATGCGTCGATGCCTCTATCGAGATGACCAATGAGGCATCACCGGTCTGCACTGTAGGTAGTTACCGTAGGTAGTTTAGGACTTCATTCCAAAACCAAGCTCGAGCTTTTCAGGTTGATCCGTGGGCAATAGAATCACAAGGCTCACGAGGCACAGTCTGGTGATGCCATAGCAGCCACAGTGTAACGTAGCCTCAGACAGTTATATCACAAACAAGGCCTTCCCTGAAAACAATACATCACGAGAAAGTCCAACCCAACTGGAGAATCTGTAGTTGTACAAAGTTCAATTCTAGCAATGAGGTCAGTTCGGTATATACACTGCAACCCCACTCTATTTCTTCGGCTCCTCCTCGGGCTTTGGCGTTGGCAGCTTGAAGCTCTCGGGCCTGCGATCGTCGCCGGCGCCAATCTGTTCCCAGGCGCTGGTGCCACCCTCAAAGTTGCGGAACGCCTGGGTCAGCTCGAGAGGCTCAGTGACGATGCGCTTCTTCTCCTCGTCGAACCTGATCTCGGTGTAGCCGGTGAGGGGGAAATCCTTGCGAAGGGGGTGGCCCTCAAAGCCGTAGTCGGTCATGATACGGCGGAGATCGGGGTGGCCGACAAAGAAGATTCCAAAAAGATCGTAGGCCTCGCGCTCGTACCAGTTGGCTCCGTCGAAGAGGCTCGTGATGCTGGGCACGGGAGAAACCTCATCGGCGTAGGTCTTGACGCGGATTCGGGAGTTGTAGCGAACGCTGAGAAGGTTGTAGATAATCTCGAATCGCTGGTCGCGCGTGGGGTAATCGACGGCCGTGACGGTGCTGACCTGCGTGAACTCGGCAGAGGTGTTGTCTTGGCTCAATTAGCTTCCCCATCGGCGGTCACGGAACGACTGATAGATGGACGTACACTTCAGGAAAGAAATAACGGGAATGACGCCCGAGGGGGGGATGTAAATGGTGAGCTCGTCCTTCCAGACGGAGAATTGCTGGACATATTTCGGCAGGCAACCCATGACCCAGGCGCCATACTTGTGCAAGTTGTCGCTCTTGGTGGCGTACTTGTCGGCGGGGTTGACGACGGGCGCCGTGAGAGGCGAGGGAGCCTCCTGGCGGGCGGCCGAGCGAACGTTTTGAGCATCCTTTGGCTGGCCGACGGGGTAGCCGACCAATTGAGGGATGGAGGTCGAGAAAGCGCGCGCCTCAGCGACACGGCCTTGTCGCAGGCCGGCTAGGGCACGGCTCCGGTACAGCTTGGTCGCCATTGTGGTGGTGGATGATTGCGTGCAGTTTGGCGATGTCTGAAGAGAGGTTGACAGGATGGCTATGCCGTGGTAATGGACTGGGAATTTGGAGCTGGCGAGCCACTAGTGGTACTACGGGGTGTATCTAAGGAGCCTGCTTATTTGCTCGCTCGCGATTCGCTGTGCTGGCTCTCTCATCTTTGACCTGTGCGCAATCTTCAGTAGCAACTATCCATCTGGAATCCCAGTAAAAGTCGCTGATGCTGAGAGGAACGGTACTGATAGACATTATTAAACACAAAATATGGTATGTAGCCCTTTTCCTTTGGCTCTTTATCACTACTCTCGCGTGTTCGTTGATTCCGAGAACGGGAGACCAGATGACACGGGGAGGGTTGCTCTAGCGCTCCAAAATCTATCACGTGATTTGTATGCTAGTCCCTGAGTTGACTGGCTCCCTTTGCAGACCCATGGAAAGGCTTTGGCGCTTTCCATCTTCATTCGAACAACTTCCCTCTACAGATTCCCGTCAATCATCCTTCCCGACATCCACCCCCTATACCTCCCTCCCACACCCCGCGCGCATCATTTACGCGATCACACAACAAAATGGCACCCCAAGATATGTTCTTTGAGGAGGATGAGGACAACTGGTAAGCCTACCTCGCGTCAAGGCCCTAGCTACAAGGCGAGGGTGTCATCGTGCATGACACTGGCTCGGGCTGCAATAGACACCCGATAACGAATTCGTTGCTAAATTTCAACAGTCCGCTCTGCATAGAAGAACTCGATCTTTCCGATCGTAGCTTCCGACCATGTCCATGTGGCTATCAGGTACGTATTCGCATCTCGCGCTGTCGTGGCGAAACCTCTCAGGTTGACTAACCTTTGTGGGTGATCAGGTCTGCCAGTTCTGCTTCAACAACATCAAGAACAACATGAACGGACTCTGTCCTGCGTGCCGAAGACCGTATGACGAAAAGACGATAGAGTGGAAAGTCGTGACACCAGAAGAGTATGTTGAGGACACGCTGCCGTGTGCTAATGGCGAAGCTGACAAATTCACAGGGTTGCCGAGTTCAGTGCGAATATCCGGAAGAACCAGAAGAAACGAGCACTAGACCAGCGGCAGAAGGAGGTACAGAAGCGCGAAGCTGAGAAAGAGAATCGGAAAAACCTCGTCGGCGTACGGGTCGTTCAGAAGAACCTCGTTTACGTGACGGGGTTGACACCAACGGTTCGAGAGGATGAGCTCCTCAAGACACTCAGGAAACCCGACTTCTTCGGTCAATACGGCAACATCCAGAAGATTTCGATCAGCAATCGAAAGAGTTCGGACGGTCACAACCAATCTCTCGGCATCTACGTCACTTTCGAGAAGAAGGAGGACGCTCAGCGATGCATCCAGGCCGTCAACGGTTCTCAGAATGGCGACAGGGTGCTGAGGGCCCAACTTGGCACGACCAAGTACTGTTCCGCATGGTTGAGACACGAGCAATGCACGAATCGACAGTGCATGTTTCTTCATGAGCTGGGAGAGGAAGAAGACAGTTACACTCGCCAGGACTTGTCCTCGATGAACAGCATCAACACCCAACGCCCTCTGCCACCAAATGGCAGCTCGTCCCGATCCGCCTCTCGCCAGCAATCGACGCCCGCTCCTGGCCCTCCGCCCGGCCCAACACCCGCTGCCGCGCCTGTTGCTCAACCAATGGCTCGCTCCTCGAGTAAGGATGAATCAGAAAACGGGGGCGATGGGTCTGCTCTGCCTTCCTCTGCGAATTGGGCCCGTAACCCTCAGCGCAGTCGTAGAGGAAGTCATGCTACTAGCGGCGCGGCTCCGAGTCCTGCGATCTCGACGTCACTCCCTGTCACAGCTGAAGCTGTGCCGGAGGCCATCGACGAATCACCCGCTGAAGAGTCCTCAGCACCGTCCACCTCCTCGCAATCTGAAAGCCCCCCAAGCCCGGTAGTCGAGCGACCCAAACAGGTTGGCATTCCGGAAAACATTCTCAAAGCACTTCTAAAGGCCATGGAAGCCTGTCCTTTCAACTTTGCTGGTTGTGATTCAACCGAGACGAATGACACTCCACCTATGTTCGACATGCGTGGTGGCGAGAAGAGGCGAGCCATGCGCGAAGAAGAGGAAGCGCGGCTCGCTGTAGACCAGGAAGAGCAAATCGATCAAGTCGAGCTTTCGGAGGGCGAGCCTGAAGCAGGTGGTAGCCTTGCGCTAGGCGGTGAGCCTGAAGACCGCGACGCGCCTCGCGAGGCAGCATTCGACCAACGCCGCGGAAGCGCCCAGCCTCCTATCCAGCGCGGTAGCACGGACGGCATGTTTGGCCCTGCTATCGGCTCCGGCTTCAGCCAGGCAGCATCCAATGCTGGAAGCCGGTCCATGACACCACAGCAGCAACTGTACATGAGAGGCCAGAGTGGATTTGGTGACCACCTCCCCCCCGGCATCACACCTGGCCAGGGATCGCTCGCACCGCAGCAGGGCGGTGGCCATAACCGCCAGGGATCAAGGTTCAGTTTTGCCAATGACAATTCTGGCTCGTCTTCGATGAAGGTGTCTGCGAACCCGCGGATCATGGCTCAACAGTCTGCGATGATGCCATCGTCTTTCCACGCACAACCAGGTAGCCAGTACTACTCGTCTTCCATGCCTGGACCACCTCCAGGACTTAAGTCGACGGGCACGCCCCCAGCCATGTTCGGACAGGGCCAGGGGTACGGTGGCGCGGGCTTCGGTGCCGCGTCAAAGGATTCTGCTGAGCTTCTTCAGAGCTTGATCAGGGGCCGAGGCGCGGCCAACAGCCAGGCTCATGATGCCGCAAAGCGTGAGTTGATGTCTTCCTTTTCTAATCAGTACCCACCCTCCACCTCTTCCTCCCCAGCCCCTGCTCCGGGTCTCCTGGCGTCGCTCTACGGTAACCCCCCTGGAGCATTCCAAGACTTTGGTCCCAAGCAGCAGAAGAAGAAGGGGAAGAAGCACAGACATGCTAACACTTCCTCCTCTGGGGGAGGTGGCCTAGTCGATCTTGCGGACCCGAGTATCTTGCAAGCAAGAATGCAGCACCAGTCACAGGGCAGCGCCGGAGTCGGACAGGGACTGTTCGGTGGACAGAGCCAAGGTGGGTACAACCCTAACATGATGTACAACACGCGGTTCCCGGGGTCCGGATGGTAGAACCGGACGGGGCACAAGTAAGAATATGAAGTACGAGAGCACACGAGTCAGGAGGTTGAAGGGTTGTCATTTCTTTTATTTGTTTGCGTATCATGTACTATGAAGAGCGTCGCGGCATGCGATATTTCCGAGGAGCGAACCGAATACCGGCGGGACTCACGGAACACTTTTTTTTCCGCATGGAGTCGGCAGCGAGCATTGCGGCATCCCTTCTTGGGCCGCTTTGAGGGTTTGCAAGGACTGCATCAGGCGTTTTCTTCTGGTTGGCATGAGGGGCCCGTAGCTGACCATCTGGCCGGCTCTGAACCCCGTCTTTCTTTTCCGGGCGAATCTTCTCGCAAAGCTTGGGGCGCAAGTGTCATTTCAGGCAAGCTATCATCGTCTTCCACATGCTCCAATGTACGTTAACTCCACAGACCATTCTCGGCCGAGGATGGAAGAGGAGCATGGTCAAATATAGCAACTTGCCCACACTCTTTGTCCACCTCGTGCTTTCATTTGATCTTTCGCGGAGGCGGACATGGGAAGACGATGATGGAGCTGTGACTTGATCTTTGCGGACCAAGCAGACATGTATCTAGCTCGTCCTTTCTGTGCTCTGTCTCTGGGAACCGTCGCGTTGCCTCCTACGGGATGGCTTTGGTAGCTTGCATCACAATTTTGGCGACGTTGCTGACCTGGACTGTAGATGATGAACTTCCTTCGCTTGACGAAGCATCGAGCTCCGTTGACGCGTTGGTTTCAGACGACCCATTGGATACGAACCTGTTCATCCAAGGATTCGGATCATCGCGCGCCTCTACAGCTACACCTGGTCCGCCGCCAGGCCTGGGTCTATCCCACAGACACCCATCACCCGCTATTCGCACCACGCTCGCGGCTCCCGTAGTTCCTACGATGCTTCAGCAGCCCGCGCGTGCCGCAACCCCTGCGGCTTCCAAAACGCAAACACTTGCGAGCGTTGTCGGCTCAGTCACACCCGATCAGACCCCTCGCAAGAAGGTGCCCGGCTCCGAGGCGAAGAAAAGTATCAAAGCATTGGCAGTTGAGAGTGGTTTGTCCAAGGATATAGCCGCGTCTTCGCCAGCTCTTCGGTCAAAGAAGCTCCTGCAAGAAGAGGACTTCCCTGCCCTGGATGCTGTCAAGAGCCCAGCACCCAAGACGATCGCCCCGGCCGTGCCATCAGTCCTCACGCCCAAAACGGCGGTGACACCCAGCAAAAAGCCTCAGACAGAAACAAAAGAGACGAATGCGTCTTCTGAGCCAAAACCCCTGAGCGAGCCAGTCCCGTCGACGCCTTCCAAGGTAACCGAGTCTTTGAAGTCGCTCGCCATATCGCCCATCAAGCCTACGTCTAAGGCTGCCGATTCTAAGCCAGCGCCGGTTCTGAACATTGCCGCAGCCGTGAAAGCTGCCCAGGCAAAGACATCAGCAGAGGCCTCAACCGTCTCCTCCTCTGATAAGGCTGATTCGGCTGCATTTCCAGCTTTACCGCCGCCATCAGCAGCCAGTGTCTCATCCCCAAGTGTCAAGGCAGCACCCAAGACTCTTCGTGTGGTGAACACGCCAAAGGCTGAAGTGCCACCCACTCTACCTATGAGTGGCACACTGAACGCAGCAACCCGGGCTCTGTCTGGCGTCCACCGCCCTGACACGCCTGGAAGTCATGATATTAGTGATACCGCCTCGGTAGTGTCCACGTCCATCTCTGTCTCTCGCACCAGCTCCCCGCCGCCCTCAAGGATTGGTTCCGCTCCTGTCCGGACCAACACCAAGAGCCAACAGCGCAAGGCGCGCAAGGAAGCCAACAAGGTTGCAGCAATCGTCGAGGCTGCGAAACCTGCTGAGCCCGAGGAGCATGCGCCCATCCTAGGCCGCAAGAAGAAGGTCAAGAAGGAGAAGCCCGTCAAAATCACAGAGAAGAGGACTTCAGCAACTGCGGCAGCGCCATCATCGACTACTGCTGCTGAATCCAAGACGGAGGAGACTGACAGCACCACAGTTGCTCCTAAGAGGTCGGAGGGTGAAAAGCAAGACCAGAAAGCCAAGGCTGGTAACACGACCAACGCTTCCCAAGACAAGGGGAAAGGAAAGGAAAAGGCCGTCGCGCCGTCGCCGAAGAACACGCCAAAACCTGCCTCACCAGAGCCCGCTGCTCCGGCTGCCGAGGAGTCGAAGGATGCTGGCGAGAACCCCAAGACAACCCCAGAGTATGTCTTTCATGAGCTTGTCAGCAGCGGCATGTCTTTTGCGGCCGATATGCTGCAGCTGTTGAAGCCTGTCAACGACCAGAGCAACCGCAACGGTGACCGTGCTGCCGCCGCCGCCGCTGACACCAACAACCCCCCTCCTTCGACTAAGAGTATCGTGACGGAGAAGGATCATGCGAAGCTTCTTTCCGGAAAACCGGTTCGCAAGGTGATCGATGGCCATCGAGTCCTCATCACACCCAACGGTGACTGCCTGCGTCATTTGACGGAGCAGGAGGAACAGAACTACCTCTTCTACCAAAAGCGTGTCGCCCTGATGACGGATGAGCCTGACGCGTTCGTCGCGCCCCGTCACTTTCCCCGAGGCGGCGGCTTTTCGCTCATCAAGGGGCGCGCGGTGCCCAACGGGGTTCCGTCTTTCTTCCCGCCCCCGCCCTCGCAGCAGCAGCGCCTGTTCGCCGATGACCCCGTCAACAAGCTGCAGCGCGAGGAGGCCATCAGCTACATCAACCAATTTGTACTGCCGCGCCTGAATCTTGGCACCGCAAACCTGGGGTTCGCCAGCAACTGGAAGTCGCACGGCAACGCGAACAACAATGCCCAGGAATTCCAGTTGACGGGCACCAAGCGCGATGTCGCCGCCGCAAGCCTCAACACGCTGGCGCCCTGGATCTACGGCCACGACGCCGCCGCTGGCGCAGGCATATACTCGGCCGAGAGCGGTAACGGTGGCCTCCGCGACGTGCCGGAAGACGAGACTCCCTTTGGCGGCCTCGATTCGGCGCACCCGCACCACCACCACCCGCACCAACCTCATGGCGTGGGCTACGGCAGCGGTCCCGACGGCGTTGCCACGGCCGCCGGCCCGGGCGGCCCGCAGCAGTACTCGACCAAGCTACCACCCCTCAACGGCATGTCCCTCATGAGCGTCGAAGAGGCCGAGTCGGCGCTGCAACTCGCGCGCAAGGAGACGGAACGTCTCGAAAAGGGCCTTAACCAGGTCATCAAGCGCAACCGCCGCCTCCTGCTGCCGGCGGGAAGGTGACTCGCCGTGGCGGGCGTCACGACCGGCCTCGCCGTCGGCATGCTTCCCGGCGGGGCGCTGCGCGTGGGGGCCGGCATGGGCGTGAGGGCTGTCGTCGCGCTCATCGAGCGCGTCTTCCTCGTCATGCTCGTCCGCGCCGTCGTCGCGTGCGTCCAGCTCGTCGCTGTCGTTGTCGAAGTCCTCTCGCGGGCCGGCAGGCGGTTGGCCGTCGTGGCGCGGGTGTAGCTATCCTGTTCTGCTGCACTCTGCCTTTCCTCGACTCGGAGACAACCGGTGTGGAGTAATCATGACGGGACTTTGTATGGATGAAAAAAGGCCCTTGTGTAATACCGGAGTGTACGAATTAGATGTACCCAGCGTGTATTGCTACTTGTAGAATTGATTAGAAAAGTAAGTAGATGGTCCAGCATCTTTCTGGCATCCCTACAGCGGATGCTGAATTGCATAATCAAGCGAATAGCATTGTCTTCACATATGTCACTACACCTGGATCTTCGTCATCTCTCCGTCGTGATAAGCGGATGACCGCATTGCGTCTCCCTGAACTACAGAAAAAAGAAATCCACCGCCGAACAGGGTATTCAGCCTAAAGAAACGCCATGCGCAAAAAGAAAATGCCAGGAACAGTCACGCACGGGTAATTAGACAACCTCATCCCACGCTGGCCCAGCTCGAGCCGTGACCCGTGCTCTCTTCAATTCATCCTGCAGTTTCTGCGTCAACTTCTTCAGCAGCCACTCGCTCTCCTCCTGGCTGCCCATGAGCGGGCTCCGGCTACCGACCCAGGACCACATATCTCCCGAGTTCAAGTCAGGGCCCGGCGCCTTTGCCTCACCTGTTCCGACCCTCACTGGCCTGCGCTTCCGTCTCTTGTGCTCGTGAGGTTTCGCGCGACAGTGTGTTGATGCGTCTGCCTCGTCCTCGCCGAGCAGCTGAAGAAAAGTGGCCCACTCGGCAAACGTGTAGCGTCGCTGGCTGGGCTCTGTGAGCGCAGTCGAAACAGTGGAGATGGCCTGGATGAGATGAAAGTGGTACTCTGACGCTACGGCAGCGTCGTCTCCGTCGCTGCCATCCATGGCGGCCAGCGAGGACGTGTTGCGACGCACAGCGTGAGAGAACGCTTTTGGGAAAGCGTGCGTCTCGTCCTCTGCATCGTGGTCGGCCGGTGCCTTGTCGGAAGAAACGATGCCAAGAGAGAAGCGATGAACGACGGCCGCAAGGTCTTCCTTGAACCCGCGCTCGCCGGGGAGGATAGTAACGTTTCCGAGCTCGAGAACGGCATTCTTGACAGCAAGGACAACGGTGTCGCCGGCGTTGGAGATCATGACGGTTGTGGTTGGGAGGGCAAGAAGTGTCCAAACGACATGAAAGACGCGGCCAGCGTTCGACACGAGAGACAAGTCGCCGTAGCCGATTGTAGTCAGAGAAATGAAGGAAAAGTAAAAGGCATCAAAGTAGTCCCAAGGCTGATATGGCTTCTCACAGGCGTGGAAGATGAGGGCACCGAGGAGCCAGAGGGCGAGCCAGGCCGAGAGGGAGATGATGAGAGCCATCCATCGACGGCGCGTGGTAGCCTCATGCTGAATCCTGCGCATCAAAGAAAACTCGTGCTTACGGCGGTTATATTCAGAATCAGACCCTGACGAGTGTGAGGTCGATGGACGCACGGGCGAGTCGGCATTGTCAATGGGCACGAGCACGTCAGAGCCGCGTTTGGTCATTTTGCGGATGAGGGTGCGGCGACGCTTCTCAACCATGCGAGCGTCGAGACGGCGACGACCTCGTTCCAGAACCATGGAGCGAATGGAGCCGATGAGCAGACCGAGGGTGACGATGCCAATGAGGGCATATGGGATAAGGAGAGCGCGGGCAAGGGTGGAACTGGGGGAATAGTCGCCGTAGCCGATAGTGAAGAGGGTCGTGTTGGCCCAATACACAGCGTCGAGGTAGACCCAGCCCTCAATCTCGGCAAACACTAGAGCACCAATGAGCAGATAGAACAGGTACGCAATGGTCTGCAGCATGAGGGTGCGCTGGCTAGCGGTGAGCTGGAAGTCCTTCGGGTAGCGGCGAGTATGGGCGCCGTAAAAGGTGACGACCATGAGGGAGGCGGTGACAAAGTAGAGGACGGCCGCATTGAGACCGTAGAAGAAGGCCTGGGACCAAATGTACTCGTGGCTCGGCTGGAGCTGCAAAGGTCCGGCGGCCGTGGCTAGGAGGGCCATAAGGGTGAAGGCCGAGATGTACCAGCCGATGATGGTGATGGGCTGGGCGATGGAGAAGCGGACGCGGCGGGCCATGTTGAGAAGCAGAAAGAGATTAGAGGTGATGGCGATGGCGAGCTGGATGGCATTGATGATGAGGAGCCATTCTGGATCGGCTACGAATTGGGCATCGCTGATCGAGGTGCCTGGAGGTCTGTGTTGTCGCCATGAGCGGACGAGGGCGCAGATGCTGAAGGCGGACGCAACGGGACCCAAGGTGCCCGCGATCATGGGAAATGCCGAGGAAGCAAACCACCAGCGGCTGGACCTGTCAGTGCCGTAGACGAGAACAAGAGCGCCCCTGTATGCTATTGTGGCAGGGGAGACAAGAACGAAAGGTAGTACCTTGGAGTCATATGGAAGCCATCATTCTCGAACCGCACCTCGTCCTGCTGCTCCTGACTCTGATCGTTACTGTGGTCTTGGCTCTGGCTCTTCTCGCCCTGATACTCATTCACATGGTCCTCGATACGTGCATCTAGGTCGGCGTCGTTCATGGTGATGACAGTGTTGTTGAGGGCGTTGAGATATTTACAGCTGTCTTCGTGACAGCGTCATTATCGTGATACCACGATCCACCCCTCGGGATGGCGTATCTGAATCTCAAACTCGAGGATCGTAAAAAAATGTCGAGGCATGTAAGTTATGAGTGCAGTAACGGGTTCCTCGGGGCAAAACTGTCCAGGCTGAGGGCAGGGAAGATGAAAATCAGATGCATAGCAAACCCGCCATCTGAGAGCTGGAAGGCATTTCCTCGCGTCGAGGCCACTGCCGTGTTTGTGCTAGGGGCGAGGCAGGGACGAGCGAATCCCGAAGCTACTGCGATGTGAAGGGGGAAATGCCATGACGTCGCCGCTTTTGGAGCTCGTGACTGGGGTGCTCCTGCCAAGGCCCGCCCACGGGTGGGATGACCAGGCAGGAAGCACCACCAGGGTCTGCTGATTGGTGGATGCTTCTACGTGTACAGCATCAGCCACACATGGTCTCTATCCTTTACAGTGGCCGTGCCAAAACGCGATTGCGATTACGATAACAGGCAATCTCCATCTGCATCTGCTTTCTCGTCTCATCTCGCGTCTCAAGAGTTCCAATGATCCTCGACCACCGCGAGACATACTCTAGGCCCCGGGCATGAAGTCACAATGGCCGAGGCTTCTGCGATTTCCCAGACGCAGCCGTTGGCTCCCTCAGCGAAGATGCGTCTCAAGTGATGTCCACCGCGTCGAGGTGCCTTGCCGCTCCTCAGGCAGCATCACCATTGAGTGAGTTCGTCAGCTATCTTGTGCCTTGCCATTTGTCGCAACTGACATTCTTCACAGCCTCCATAATACATCTCACATACCGTCTACAGTGCCCCTGGTCGTCCATCTTCCGCCCTTTGCCCCGATACCCGGCGCAGAACCCCATCTCCCCGACTTTCTTGCCCCTTTCCCCACCGCTGTCATCAACTACCGCTGGACCGGGCCTTCCTCCCTGACGAGCTCGCATACCGAGCCGTCGACCCAAGACGAGTTCAAGGCGCCCCTGCACTGGCCGACCCCGCTTCACGATGTTCTCTTCGCCTACAGCTGGCTCCTCGAGAACCTCCGCCCGGAGAACCAGGCGCGCCGCGCCATCTACCTCCACGGCACGTACCTCGGCGCCACGCTCGCCGCCGCCCTCGCCCTGACAGAGTCTCACAAGCACGAGCCCACCGCCGTCCGCGGCTTCGCCGCCTACAACGGCGTCTACAACTGGACCATGTTTCTGCCGGACCACAAGCTCAACAAGCCCACGACCTACCGCGGCAAGACGACGCCCGTGCCACGGCCCGAAGAGGGCTCGGCACTGCACGTCCTGCGGGATGCCCTGCCCGACCTGTTCGGTGCGCCGGTGTCGCTGTTCGACGCGTTCGCGAGCCCGAGTCTCTTCTTTCAGACGGCGGGCCTCGAGATCCCGCCGTCGTTCACGCAGACGGTCGCCGTTGCGGGCCTCGTCGACAGGATGGCGGCGCTGGGGCTCGAGGGGTCAGCGGCAGATTTGATGCCTGCGAGCGTGGCCAGGGTGCCGAGGCGCAGCGCGCTGGTGTTCCCGCCGCGGAAGTCGACGCTGGGGATTCCCTCGACGTTGCTCGTGCATGACGCAGCTGTCATCGCTGCCGCGACCGCTTCCTCCACTGCGAAGCGAAAGACGACAAGCGTGCGTAGGCGCAAGGCAAAGGGCAATCAGTTCGAGGCGCAGGCGGAGGAGCTGGCGGGGCTCTTGCGGCGGAGCATGGAGAAGCTGGAGTTGAAAGAACGCATGAAGTGGGACGAGGATTTCGACGCCGAGGGGGAGATGGAGGCGCGGGTCAAGGTCGTTGATGTCGGTGACGGCAGCCCTCACGAGTTGGGCGCAAGGGGGGACGCGGTGGTGCGGGAATGGCTGGAGCAGCGGATTGCACTTTGATGTGACACTACATTGAATGTGACACGAATTGAATGGCAGATTGAGCTACCCATGCTATCATCTGAACCAATGTGTTCGGCGATGCTTGGCATGGTGTTGTGGTACTGAGTTGTGACATTTCCGTTCATGTTGTCGCTACAGCCGGCTAGCGCGCGCCGATGAAGCTCGTTCGTGCGGCAGCCCGAGGGATCAGCAGAGCAGCGGTCTAGGCGCCCGGCCACTGAGAGGCCAGTCGAGACCAGGCGGCGGGCGCCATGTGGTGTCGCTAAGGCGGTGTTCAGGTCGGCCACTCGTCCAACAGGCCCCCAAAAACGTCCCCAGGTTCCAGCGTGAGTGGCTCCAGCGAGGCTTGGGCGGATGAATGACGGCATTTTGCGATTGGAGATTGGCAGGGGGCCGGAGGAGAAACGGGGGGGGGGGGGGGGAATGAATGAAGGTGGCTAGCTGCATGTCATAAGCCGGTTGATTAAGCACGGCTCAGCTGAGCTTGTTTTAGAGACGAGAGGCGCTTCATGATAGGGTGCTTGATCGCCTGGGACAGGTTTGGACAGGTTTGGACGGGCCTTGGACCCTGGACCTGACCCCGACCTCGACCTGGCCTGACTGTCACCGATCGATGCGAGTGGGTATGAGGCAGGAGCAGGGGACCAAAGCTTGAACGTCCCTGACAGCTGCCTCTCGTCCACCCTTCTTCCCCTCTTCTCCTGTTCGAGCCTTCCCGTTCCTCATCTCCTGCCTCAACTCTCTCTGCATCCTCGTGCTTCCCTCTGTCAAGTTGCTGTTGCTAGACACCAGCAGTCCTCCAGGTAAGCCCCCCCTCCCCCTTCAGCCTCGTGTAGACTGCAAAGCCTACCGACGCTGCTTTGGCGTGCGAGCCACGATCAGGTCACGTCTCTCCCGTCGTCACTGTGTCGTGTGCCTTGTCGTCGTTCTCACCACCACCTACATTCCACTCCCACGGGCATCCTTTGCAGAGCACTCGTGCCGGCGACCAGTTTCTGACATTCTCTCAATAGCTTCACAGCCCCTACTTGCTATCCCGAAATACCCTTGTTTCGCAGCCCACCATGCCCGGCATTCGCAAGTCCACCCGCATCCACCCCAAAGTCGAACTCGGCGTAGTCGAAGACGCGACAGACCGATCTTGCTGCTTAGGCATGATACCTCCGCTCTCTGCAATGATGTCCGTCACACAGTATCATTATGAGACAAGCCTCTTGCCCGATCAGCAACATCGCTACTGTCCTTCGCTCGCCGTACTCGCTTACTGCCCGTCACACCGCTTGCTAACACTCTGCAGCTCTCCACGCCTTGGACAACCTGAAGGCTCGCCTCAAGGAAGCCTTCTCCAAGAAGCACCAGAAGTCCGAGTCGACTGCCACCCCCGCCAAGACGGAGGCCGCCCCGCCTGTGGAGGTCACCAAGACCAACGCCGCTGATCCCACAAAGACCGACGTCGCCCCGGCCGCTGCTCCCGCCAGTATGTTGACCCGAAGCACACCCTCTCGACCGCCGTAGAACTGACCATCCCGAAGCTGTGCCCGCAGCCCCTGCCCCTGCCCCGGCTGCCGCCGCCGCCGCCGAGCCTGCTGCTCCCGCCGCGCCGGCGGCCGTCCCCGAGCCGGCCAAGGCCGCTGAGGTTCCCGAGCCCAAGACTCTTGTCAGCGAGGCGCCCCCTACGACTGCTGAGTCTGGTATGTTTTAGATCCATGCTGCAAAACCTTGGAGGGGACCAAGACTGACATGCATCCACAGCCCCGGCTTCTGCCGCTTCGCCTGCCGTTCAGGTTGTGGTCAACCCTGCCACCCCCGACGAGCCCGCCAAGACCGACGCCGCCCCCGCCGTCGATGCTGCGGCCCCCGCTGCTGCGCCTATCGCGCAGCCAACTGAGGCTCCTGCTGCCGCACCTGCTGCTACGCCTGTTGCTGCACCCGCCGCTGCCCCCGCTGCCGCGACTGAGGTGAAGAAGGACGCCTCCACCGCCTAGTCAGGCGGTCGTCGCCCGACCTCCTTTCCACCTTTTGCTTCCATTTCCGTTCCAGCATCACGTCTCTTCGTCTCGACTCGTCTCCCAGGCGTGCGCGGCATCTCTTCCACTGTTCCACTTTCCGACGTTTTCGTCACCCATTCTCGCTTGCCAGATTAGGAGCTGCGCTAGGTCCGCGTTGTGAAGACAACTCTGCCCACCGTGCAAGAGGCTAAGGACAGCGAGGGGGCCCCAATTTCTGAATGGAGTTTCGAATGGGGCCAAGAAGATTTGGTCGATGTGCACCCGCAATGGCTTTCTCATTCGCTGACCGAGTCCACTTCTGAATTTGACACATCTTCAGGGTCGAGTGACGATTCTGTCAAGGGTAATGAAATGGAGCGGTTGCGTGACGGGACGGCAACAGATCCTCAGCGTTTTGTGGTTCACAGCATCATTGGAACAGAGGCACCGAATGTGGGGCTCGAGGGAGACGAGGATGAGGATGTTTAGCTGGATATCTACGATTCGTGATTTTGAAGCGAGAGGTGGAGCTGGTTTCAGCGTTGATTTCGCTCTTTTTGCTTTCCACCTGGCGCGGTTGTGTTCGCGTTTCGTTAGTCTGTATACCCTCTCTTGCCAGCAATTCAGCGTACGTTTTTCTTGAATCGTCCCTCGTCATGCAATGTTCCGCCTGATTCTATGCTGTCTAGAGTTTTCAGCGTCTGTGCCGTCTTCTCACGTCGCTTGATAGCCGTCAGTTCTCAGCGTGCTCAATGCCAAGCTGCTCCATCGCGAACAACACCGTGCGCTCCATGCTACCTCAATGCTCACTTGGCCCACGGCGCCTTGGTCATGGTAATCTGCGGATCCGTCGAGCCAGACCCCTCGCCCGCCCCCCGCGACGATGGCGGCGGCGGCGGCGGCTGCGGCTGCGGCACACGTGCCGCGCTCCCAGCCCACGGCGCACGCATCCCAGCCCCCCCCGGCGTCCTGCTCGTCGGCGCCGCCCCGCTGCCCGCCGCCCACGGCGCCGCCGTGCCTCC